TTTCCGCAGGAAAAGTTTTGTATATTTGTACTCCTAACGCCTTCTAGAACGCATATATAAAGTCATTTTTATATAACAGATTTGAGCTAAACGAAAGTTGAGCCCAACCTTCCAATTGGCAGTAGTCTAAGGCTTGACCTCGTCGAAATTATCACCGATTGATATTCCACCGCCTTCTTTGACGCCGTTTTTTTCTCGATAGTACGATATAATCTGCTCTATAACCTGTAGATGGTAGGAATCTGTTAGAAATCAGGTGGTACTCTAGGCGTACTCGCCGAACCAAAACAATTAACGATCCAATTGAATAATAACCACAATCATAATGGAGAATTATGTCGTAACTACTTTGCATCATTTTAGCGTGAGCTTTCTCGGAACTGACCCACCGGCCACTGGGTACTACCTGTGGTACTACTATAAATTTTCATATTTGTTCTGCATGGCGTAGAGGAAACCATGTGTGTAAGTACTAGATGCACGTTCGCAAAAAGTAGTACCGCTGATATGGTACGCTTGGTTTTATGTCTTCCCGATAGCGTTAAGTAATGTTGAAAGCTACGAAGTTTGCAATAATATAAAAAATGAAATTATAAAAATTTTCAAAGTACTTATTAGTTCAAAACTTTAAGAAAGAATTGATCGAAAAAAAAAACGGCGGCGGAAAATTTTTGTGTTTATATGTTCAGAAAAATATTTAAAAAAAAACGCAAAATGTATTTTTTATAGCAGATTTCAGTTATTCTAAAGTGCGAAATTTGGAAATTACGCATTTCCGCAGGAAAATTTGTGTTTTCCGTGGTTCACAGTAGCTTTTTAAAGACAATTTTTTTTTCTAATAACTGATTTCAGCTAAACGAAAGTTGACCCAAAACGGTGTCGTCTAGGCATAGATCTTGTGTTATCTATGATACAGTACATCGATGGAATGCGAAGCGACGTTGCCAGACCTACGAAAAAATCCGATAAAAGCCCCGAGGCAGCGAATCGGCCTTTGAAGGTTGTCAGGCCGGTGTTTTTTTCGTGTCATAGCACTCTGTGGTACTCTGGTACCGTTGTTGCGTCAGTACGACCCTGAGCGTCGCCGTTTCTTTTGCATTCCAACGGCGCCAAAAACTGTGACAAAACAACAAGTCACGAAGAAAAAACAAACAAACAAACAACAACAAGAAACTAGTCTCCAGAGGTGTTGCGACCTGAATACCTCAGCATCGATACTTAGTTGTCAAAAATAGAACAGAACTTTCAAAAATCAACATTTTTGAAAATTTATAATTATAACGTTATCTTAAAAATAAATTGCAAATGAAGGGTCAAGGAGAAAAAACATTTAGTAGATCTAACTGGTCCCTACAACATATACAGGGTGTCCCAGAAATAAGTGCAAGTATTTAAACTGGTAGTATAGTTCAACTCCAGAAACACGCCTATGAGTTTTTTTTCGCGAAAAAAAAATTGAAAATTCGAAATTTTTTGGAAATTTTTTTAGTTTTTAGTTAAAAAAACATAATTTCTTGATAATATGGCAACATAGGTATATTAGATTAAATTTACAAGAAAGAAAATCCAGAAAAGATCCATTGATTCTCAAAATTTTAGCAAAAAATCATATTTTTTTTCAAATAACTCCGTTATTTTGGACTTATTTGAAAAACGATAAAGAGAAAATATTATGTTTCTTTTATCGAGGTCTACCACCCCTTAAAATACTTGCACTTATTTCTGGGACACCCTGTATAAACTCTGCAGAGCAATAAGTTGTTCAATCCTATGATATATTATGCCTAGTCTAATATAGAATACAGGGAAAGAACCTGACAACCACCAGCCGTCCAGTGCTCTCCTGTCAAATTAGTAAAATGTAAAATGGGGCTTATCATGTTTTCCCCTGGACACTTCAAATACAATGTTGCCGAACCTTTCGTTATTACCTAACACTCGACGACATTCAATTATGCAACTCTTTAACGAGGCTGTGCCACTGACATTTAGGTACACGCGTAATTATTACCGATGTAATTAAAGAATTTCACTCTCCGCTATCTATGCCGATGCAGCAGTACTTCAATACGAGTCCGGCGTTGCCAAATACCTAAATATCCCGTCAGGATTCCATGGAGATTCGAAAAAATAGATGATAGGTTCTGGTCGAACAAAATTTTATCATCTCAATTCATTTTAAGATACATATATCACAATTTTTGTAAAAAATCTGTGTTTTAAAGTTGTCAGACTATAGTAATCGCAAAACATTTTCCGATGCACGTCATCAATCATATCGACATTGACACTAAGTCTATAAACTTGACTAAATAAAATTGTGGCAAAAATGTTTAAATTTGTTGTATAATTTAAGATACCGAGCAGCTCTTTTATTTTACTTTATAGAGCAAATGATTGTAACAGATATTTTATTTAAATTAAAGCTGAAAAAAATTAGTTTTAACCAAATTTTATTATCGCTATGTTGATCACACTGCGCCGGCGCCGTATTCAGCAATGTTGTCCTTTATTATTTGACAATTATCTTTGTGTCAGTCGTCAGTCATTATTTTGTATAATATCGTGTTGTTGGTGAATCTTTGTGAGTAATTCTCGTTTATTTGCCTATTTTCATAGTCTTTTTTAATTACGTAATTTGTAGTAAATTTTCTATAGGAATAGGCAACGTTTACTGCTGTTTGGGACTACATTTATGGAGATTTCAGGATCCACTATTAATATATGTATTAGACTATTTTCTTTAAAAAATGGTTAAGGCGGGTTTCCCAACTTGACGCCGCATTTCAGTGCTTCTATCTATGGCTTTTAATCTCTATACGAGTTAGCAGAAAAGGGGCACGACTATACCAAAGTGGAAAAAAAATGAATCATTACAGACTTTCTCCAAATTGGCAGCCTCGGGCTTAAGTAGGCCTTGGAATTCCTCCGAACCCTTACGTAGGGTCATGGGTTCGGCAACATTGTGTATAATAAAAAGGTAAAACGATAAAGTGAAGCTCTAAAAGTGTTTTTGTTTCTGCACATTTTTTGCCACATAAGGCAGTTAAATATATCGTGGTTTTCTTGTTGTCTTGGTTCGCTCTTTACAGGGTGGTGCACTAAAAATGCACTGCCAAATTCCCCCCGTTTAAAAGTTTTAAACATCCTGTATCTCTAAAATTCAAATTCAAATTTCTTTATTAGACCCCATTAAGTTTTACAGAATAATATTAGTATTAATAAATGTGTGTCTAAAGGGATCGCACCGCGATTAAAAAACCGATACAGAGTGGTCCGACCCCAAATACAAAAGAGAAATAAATTAAATTACAAAAATAAACAGAATTAAAAAAATTAAAATTATATAAAAAAAAGTGAAAATATAATTTTATCGGGGATGAGCGGAGATAAGCAGAGAGGCATAATGAAACAGTGTAAAAACCGGAACAGCAACCAATGACGGGCATATCAGAAGAACAAGATCTCACAAATCAGTCGAAGAAATTATAATATTTACGAATTTAGTAAATGATTTTTAATTTGTTTTTTATAATCTGTAAAGGATTGAAATTTAAAGTTATTAGAAATATTATTCCACAAATGTGGCGCCATGAAACTGAAAGATTTTTGGAAGTTAGCTGTTCGGTGTTGAGGAATTTTAAAATAATGCACTTGTCTAGTCGAATGATCATGGTCAACGTAGTGAAACAATGAGAACAAATAGGGAGGCTGCTCTGTAGTTAAAATTCGATAAATGAATGCCATTAAATGAAATTGTCGTCTGTTAGTCATGGATAAAATAGATAAACTCTTAAGATGTGGCGTTATATGATCTCTAAAAGGAATGTTAAAAGAAAACCGTAGACACGAATTTTGAAGTATTTGGATTTTTCTAGAGAATCTAGCGTTTATGGATGTACCATAAACAACATCGCTATAATCAAATAAAGATAAAATAAGTGTGTCACATAATTGATACTTAATCTTTGATGGTATATATTTCTTAAGAGACGAAAAATTCTTCAACCGTATATAAGCAGCCTTTAATTTGGTAGTTATATGTGCCTGAAATGAAAACTTCGAATCAAAATAAACTCCAAGATTTTTAGTCTCTGTATCAATGGGTATCGCAAACATTATCTATATGGATATTCATGTTACCAGCCGTATTTGTAATTTTGTTTATATCACTACCAAATACTATAACACAAGATTTACCGGCATTTAATTTCAAATTATGATCTAGAGCATTTTTATTAATTTATTAAGATACTATGCATGTCAGGAACTTTTTATATTTTTTAATGAGGAATCTGAGGTATAAGAAAAGAATTCTGTAAGAAAAATGCCAAAAAATTGAAAATACAAAAAAAATTATATAAAAAAATATTCACCTCTTTAAATTTTTTGCACACTTTCATTCGCGCCCTGTATAGGAACTCAGTTTCCTTAAATAATAATTCATGCCATCATGGTGTTTCATAACAAAATCTCATTTGTAATTCCGATAACTTTCTTTCTGTATAAAATCTGAGACGAGACAAGAAAGAAACAACAAAAACTCACACTGAATTGGATTTTCCAAATCATTTTTTTAACCCTGGTTTAACAAACCTCCGGTTAAAGTTCAGATTTAAATGAAGATCTGTATTAAGAATGATAAAAAACCACCATAAAGAAATTTCTTCAGATTTTTTTCAGTGTACTTATTATTGAAATGAAAGATGCTGGAGAAATTATCAGGCAACCGAAAACAATATCATGCGTTGATATTTAAGCATATTAAATTTCACTTTCATTCTGTTGATCTACTGCCCCAGATTTTATATTCTTCATTATATATTTTCGTTTCATTGACAGCATTGAGATTGGCAATGTCTTTTTGATTGAAAAAAAAATCTACTGCTTTCTAAACAAAACTCTCAATCACCATATATCATGCTGAGAATGCGTCTGTTATAAGATTTTTAGATTGACAATTTGATAATGGCTGGATTTCCAAAAAAAATGTTACTTACAAACACGGGAACATCAGTAGGTTTTCCCTGCCCATACTTAGTACACCCTTCAGCTCTGACTCCGTAGTACAACTCCCAAACGCTAGGTTTCTCATCACCTACACCTCCCAAGTCGCCTAATTTGGGTGTCAAGTCACCCAACAACCCGTGTCTATCACAGCCAATTTTATTCTCCAATCTGGAGACTTCCAGTTCTTCAGAACCCACAGTAGAACGTGCTTTTAGAGGTGAAGTCTTCTGTCTACAGAGGGTTCCGTAGATTAGAGCATTTCTAATGCCTCTGGAAACTGTAGAGGTGTCGTCACATGCGAGAGGATTCAGTAAGATTGATGGTTTCCTAGCTAAAAAGAGACTTTATTAACAAAATCTTTTTGTTACAATCCTCTTTCTAGGATTCTTACCATAAAACTGAGGCAACAGTGGTGTGGAAGGCCTTCTTCTTCCCGGGGGTGATGAATCACTGAACCCGCTACTCGATGAACCAGATGCTATATGATACAATTCCTCCTCCTGTCCACTACAAGTCCTTACCCTACCCGAAGACGTCGACAAATCACTTGAAGGACTCCTTCGCAAAGCCCTCAGCACAGAATTCACTTGCCTGCCCCTGCTCAAGCTCACGCACAGTCTGCGCATATCCTCCTCAGTCACACTGCGCAGCTCGTCAAGTTGTCTGCGTATTTTCTCATCTATCTGCCTCAGAGCATCCTCGGGAGTTCGTGCTTCGCCTATACTGGTCAGTAGATCAACTAGAAGGTCCCTTAGAGTCACATCAGCTAGAGATTCTGGTCGATAGGAGTTGGAGGAACTTCCAGGCCACACCGGGAGGGGTATAGGGGTATCAACCTGGCCTTCTGGGATGGTAGTGAGGGTTCCTGCACCGGAAGTAGTCGAATGTTGTGAAGATGAGGCTGTTTTGCTTGTTCGAAGACCTCTTCCTGCAAGCTAGAATAGAGAATTTGTTCGAATTAGCTTTTTAGATATAAAGAAAATTGAAAACTCACCCTTATCGATTTAACGAAACTTCCGTTCTGTTCCACGACTCCTCCAGAGTCATCTACAGGTCTCAGACTAGTACCAAATCCATTTTCAGAACTGCTGCTTCCGCTGTAACCGGAACTAACAGAGTTATGGCGAAGGTTACTCTTGGTTCGTGCATCATCGTGATAATCGATTTCTGGCGACTTTTCCCGAACGTATTCGGCATAGCTCGTGGCTGACGACAAGGGGGCGTGATCTGGGGAGGGGTTTTCGCATCCTGGGGGTGTAGGACGTGGCTTAGAAGAGAGAAACGAGGGCGTGGTCAAGTTAAACAGAGGATTTACCCTGAAAAATTAGAAAATATAGAAGAATTAAGTCATTTTTCGATAAAAACTTTTGGTTATACACTGGTATTTTAATCTAAACGAACTATTAAAGCGTTGGGTGAAAAATTCGACCGGATTGTGTAATTTTTCAGCTAGTCGTGCCCGAGGGGACCAGTTTCTAGGGCAGTGCAAGTGCACAACGCGTCTCTGGGGAACGGATTTGCGAAACTAGTCTTCGTTATCGAGCCAGATGTTTAAAATGTAGTACCAGCACAAAGAATAATATCAGAAATCGATTTAGGTACAAAGAAATTATCGAAACAAATCATTTATTTGAGGTATAAATATGTTTTTAGTGGATTTAAAAAGTTTTTAAACACAAAATACGAAATTTAGTCTTAGATCATGTAACAACTAGAATATAAAGTCTTAGTCTTCTCTCAGGATATTGTAGTCAAGAAAAATTACAATGTACATAACGTAAATGGTAAAAAATATTAGAATTCTTTCTATGTTAGACCATGCAACATCTAGACCTTTCTTAGCTGCATTCCCTATCCAAGATAAAGTACATTATGATTATCAGAGAAATAAATAAATGTAGAGGAGTTCTAGACAGGGTTCGGAAGTAGTTAATTAAGACATAATTTACCTGATTAACTACGTGTAGTTTTTCTTCAAAACTACGTCTTTTTGCCGTTCATTAACTACAAGAAAACTACGTTAATAAACTATGTATCGGTATTATGAATAATTTTCGTTTATATGAGGTGTAATAGAGATAATATGATGTAAATATTATATTTAAAGCCATATTTCTTCTGTTTTCTTAAATACATTATGTGTTTTTAAAGCTTCAACTTATTATAACCTCACCTCAAACCTTTGATATTTGGAAGTTACATACATAGGTTACATAAACTACACCCACTACATAAACTACATTAACTACATGTAATGTAGTTTATGTAGTTTTTGTTGCAATGTAAGGTCTACATTTTATACAAAAAATAATTATTAACTATTGATAAGTGTTGTTTAAGTTCTCCAAACACTGTTTTGTTGATTTTTTTATCTCGTTTTAATACAGGGTGACAATTACATAAGTGCAAGTTTTTTAAGAGGTGAAAACAAACATATTTTCACAATTCCCCTGAATATGTCAAGAAACACATCAAATTTTCAACAAACGCAATGTTGCATGCAATTGACTTCAAGCCAATGATATTCATAATGTTAGAGCGCATCTATATTTCCTTATATCTCTGAGTTTCTTACAAATCCACGATTGCATTTTGTATGCTCAAACGTGACGTTGACACATACAGATAGATAGATTCCGCTTTTGTGATTTAAAAAGGAACACATACGTTATGTAACGTCACGTCTACTAAGCTTTGTTCATGTACAGCTTAACGTATCTAAGCTTTAAATAACTGTAAAGTACAAGGAAGTCACGATGTATACAGGGGGTGAAATTATACTCAAAACTATAACTTGTCATATGCAGAATGTGATATTCTACCAGAATATGTCTTAGTTTGGTTGAAATCTTAATAGTGTTGAGGGAGAGCCCGGGAGAGACAGCGGTAGTTCCGCTTATTTTGTCTTAAAGCTGAAAATACAGGACCAGTATTTCTACCGTTGAAAAAAAATATTAATAAAATTCTGAAGGAACTAAAACTATACTTGTCGCATGCAGAATTTTATATTCTGTCAGAATATGTCTTAGTCTGAGCTGAAATGTTAATAGTGTTGAGGGAGAGCCCAGGAGAGACAGCGGTAGTTCCGCTTATTTTGTCCTAAAGCTGAAAAAACAGGACCAGTATTTCTACCGTTGAAAAAAAATATTAATAAAATTCTAGATCTAGATCTTATCTTATGCAGAATTTTATATTCTGTCAGAATATATCTTAGTCTGAGCTGAAATGTTAATAGTGTTGAGGGAGAGCCCGGGAGAGACAGCGGTAGTTTCGCTTATTTTGTCTTAAAGCTGAAAAACCAGGCCAGTATTGGTACCATTGAAAAAAATATTAATAAAATTCTAAAGGAACCCAAGCTATACTTGTCGTATGCAGAATTTTATATTCTATCAGAATATGCCTTAGTTTGAGCTGGAATGTTAATAGCGTTGAGGGAGAACCCGGGAGAGACAATAGTAGTTCGACTTATTTTGTCTTAAAACTGAAAAAACAGGACCAGTGTTTGTGCCGTTGAAAAAAATATTAATAAAATTCTGAGGGAGCCCAAACTATACTTGTCGTATGCAGAATTTTATATTCTATCAGAATACGTCTTAGTTTGAGCTGAAATGTTAATAGTGTTGAGGGAGAGTCAGGGAGAGACAGCGGTTGTTTCGCTTATTTTGTCTTAATGCTGAAAAAACTAGACCAGGTTTTGTTAGGTTGAAAAAAATATAAATAAAATTTTAAAGGAATCAAAATTACACTTGTCGTATGTAGAATTTTATATTCTATCAGAATATGTTTTAGTTTGAGCTGAAATCTTAATAGTCTTGAGGCAGAGCCTGGGAGAGACAGAAGTAGATAAAGTACCTGCTCACTGCGTAGACCTGAAGGTCGCTCTTTTGTCGTCCAGTGAGTCCTAGGGCTGCCAGGGGATCATCGGTGACTCTTCCAGGGTCGGGGGGTCCCGGAGGAGGCTTCCTGGGGGGTTCCCCCGACCATCGAGTCATCTCCTCGCCTTCCAAGGTCGCAGAGACATTCTTTGACACTTATCTGAAAGAGAAACATTTTTATAACTTCTATTTCTCAATTATCACTTATCGGTTCTATAATATATAAATATTTTTTATTAGGGTTAACACATGAAAAATTACTTTAAGTGCAGCAACATTCTGTATGTACAAGATAAAATTTTATAGCTCTTTTAAAGTATGTTGTAAGAGTAACCTTAGTATATATGCATATAGTTGCAACAAATCCGATGCTTGACGATGGATGTCGTCAATGGCGAAACATTGCAAATGCATACGTGTGAACATAATGTATGTGATATAGTCGTTTTGGTCATCTTTGGCGAGTGAGCTTGACCCTAAACTATTTTGCTATTTCGCTGTGAGGTCGTCAACATGCATTGTTGCCATATCTTCAGATCTTGGAAGGAATTCTTGTTATTTGATTTTTAAAAATGTCATTGAAAACAGCGAAAATATTTTTGCATTTTTTAATTTGTTTATTATATTTGCTCCCACACTGCTCGAATGACATACTTTTAAATTAATTTATAATTAAACTAGCGTGTACCAGCGACTTCGTTCGCGTCGAATTAATCATTTGTAATGGTGATGATAGAGCAAAGCAAGAATTTCCATTAACATACAAACTGGATACCATTTTCTCACATTTATGTCAGCATGAGAAGAAACAATATGGCGATATTATTATATAACTTGGTAATATTTGAGGGGTAGTTTCATCTCGTTGGAATTTGACTTTCGAAAAATCGGTTTACCAAAAAACGTCAAGCACTTTAAGCAGAACCGTGGTTAAGAAATTACCCAACTTTTTGGAACACCCTGTATGATTTTTAAAAAATTTCAAAATATGTAAAAAAACTAAATAATTTATGCTTGTCCAAGCGTTTTCCCGAAAGACTAACCGTTTTTTAAATAACAAATATTGTAATATTTAGGGGCGCTTTCACCCTCTTGGAATTTGAGATTCAAGAAACCCTTTCTTATCGAACCACTACACCCCAGAGTCAATCTGTTTGCTAAAAATCAGCTTTAAACGTCAAGCAGTTTAAGCAGAATCGTGATTACTCAATGGTCATATTTTATGAAACACCCTGTATAAATTTATAAAAAATCTTAAAATATGTGAAACAACAAAATAAAATATACGTGTTTAAGAGTTTTTCCGAAAAACTCACCGGTTTTTAAATAAAAAATATTTTTATATTTGAGGGATAGTTTCACCCCCTAAGAATTCGAGTTTCGAAAAATTCCTTCTTATCGAACCTCTACACACTAAAGTCAATCTGTTTCCCAAAATCAGCTTTTTACGTTAAGCGCTTTAAGCAGGATCGTGATTAATCAATGACCAGATTTTTCGAAACACCCTGTATACATTTTTAAAAAATCTTAAAATATGTAAAAAAACAAAATAAAATATACGTGTTTAAGCGTTTTTTCGGAAACTTGACCGTTTTTTAAATAAAAAATATTGTAATATTTGAGGGGTGGTTTCACCCTCTTGGAACTGGAATTTCGAAAAATCCCTTCTTATCGAACCTCTACACCCTAGAATCAACCTGTATGCCAAAATTGAGCTTCTTACGTTGAGTGGTTTGAGCAGGATCGTGATTAATCAGTATGTCAGTCACTTAAGGATTTTATATATTAGTAAGATAAACAAAATTCCCTTGATTGCGAGATTTTGGCAAATATACAAACTCTATCTCTTTTTTATGATCTATGATTTAGAAAATATCATACAGTGACCATAAAGACATTTTTATTATGACTATTATATCCACTGATCAACGATAATATTTTCCTTTATTTGCCCTCGTGCGACGTCACATTGTAATTTATCTTGGCTTCAGAAAACCTATCAAAAAAATATGTCTAGTTGTAGTATGGTCTAAGGTTTAGAAAAGAATGTATATAGACAAAAATATCCACCGATCAACGATATTTTACCTTATTTGATCTCATGTGATAAAAAAACATATCTAGTTGTAGTATGATCTAATAGGACACAGTTTTGTTCTCTCTATTTGCCCCTATGTGACAGAATTTGGGCAAAAGTTAAATCTCTAGTTCAATGATGGTCTAACTTTTACAAATGAATCTATAGAGACAAAAATAGCGTTTAATGTTCCATTAATGAACCAGAGACATTCTTGTTATGACTATTACTTAACAAGAACGCGTCACAGACAGAATAGAAAGCGTTAATAAGCGAGATAAGTTTATCCGCGGCATTGGGTAATGAATTGGCACCTCCTACGTAACATCCACCCACTAATTGAAACAAACAAACCTTCAAAAATCCGTTTGATTTGTTATTTTTAACGATTAATGCGAATTTTTTCTCTTTCTCTGCTTTAACAGGGTAAGGACATTATTAGATATATGTCAGACCCAATCAAGTGGATATTTTTGAATTACCAAGGGAATATACATATCTATAGTTCATATCAAATAGACTTTTAGTCACGTGATTAAGCTTGACCGGCACAGCGTTGCCCAATTTTACATATTTTCTTTGAATCAAAATATTTCAGGAAATAAAAATAAATCTATTACTGGACATACTGATTAATCACGATCCTGCTCAAACCACTCAACGTAAGAAGCTCAATTTTGGTATACAGGTTGATTCTAGGGTGTAGAGATTCGATAAGAAGGGATTTTTCGAAATTCAAGTTCCAAGAGGGTGAAACCACCCCTCAAATATTACAATATTTTTTATTTAAAAAACGGTCAAATTTCCGAAAAAACGCTTAAACACGTATATTTTATTTTGTTTTTTTACATATTTTAAGATTTTTTAAAAATGTATACAGGGTGTTTCGGAAAATCTGGTCATTGATTAATCACGGTCCTGCTTAAAGCGCTTGACGTAAAAAGCTGATTTTTGGAAAACAGATTGACTTTAGGGTGTAAAGGTCCGATAAGAAGGGATTTTTCGAAACTCGAATTCTAAGGGGGTGAAACTATCGCTCAAATATTAAAATATTTTTTATTTAAAAACCGGTGAGTGTTTCGGAAAAACTCTTAAACACGTATATTATATTTTGTCGTTTTACATATTTTAAGATTTTTTATAAATTTATACAGGGTGTTGCATAAAATATGACCATTGAGTGCCTAATCACGATTCTGCTTAAACTGCTTGACGTTTAAAGCTGATTTTTGGCAAACGGGTTGACTGTGGGGTGTAGTGGTTCGATAAGAAAGGGTTTCTCGAATCTCAAATTCCAAGAGGGTGAAAACGCCCCTCAAATATTACAATATTTGTTATTTAAAAAACGGTTAGTCTTTCGGGAAAAGGCTTGGACAAGCATAATTTATTTGGTTTTTTTACATATTTTGAAATTTTTTAAAAAATCATACAGGGTGTTCCAAAAAGTTGGGTAATTTCTTAACCACGATTCTGCTTAAACTGGTTGACGTAAAAAGCTTAATTTGGCAAACGGATTTTTCGAAAGTCAAATTCCAACGAGATGAAACTACCCCTCAAATATTACCAAGTTATATAATAATAGCGCCATATTGTTTTTTCTCATTCTGACATAAATGTGAAAAAAAATTATCCAGTTTGTATGTTAATGGAAATTCTTGCTTTGCTTTATCATCACCATTACAAATGATTAAGTCGACGCGAACGAAATCGCTGGTACAGCTGGTTCCAATAAAATTGAATACGATTTAAAACATATTTTTATTATTTTGGGCAGTATATTATATGATACCTGTCCCCCATTTCTCTACTCATCTCATGCTGACGTTCTGAAAAAGGTATTTGCCACTTTGTCAAAAGCAAAGTTGTTTTATACAATGTCACAATAACCTTAATATGTTAAAATACTTGACACATAAGTATACACTGCTCAAATATTCGAAAAGAATGTGGAAAGAGTCGTATTCATTTTTTTTAAACCAGCTGTACACGCTAGTTAAATATAAATATATAAACAGTTATTATTTACATCAACAAAATTCACCTTCTTAACAGCACTTAGGGGGAGTTTTTTACGGCTATTAAGCTATCTTGTACCACAGTCTTTAAACTGTGCTTCTACCACTTCGCACTAAAAGTGGTACTAAAAAAACAATGTTCGACTGCAAGGTCTGTTAGTAAACATTTTTAAACCTAAAGTATCACAACACTGTTTATTTAAACCCCAAACCCCGAAATACAAAACTAAAGTATCAAAACGAATGACAGTGTCAGGGAATAAATAAATAAATGTGTTACATACAGTTCTGGGTGTTCCATTTAAAATAGTAGATATAGAAAAAAATAAGAGTATCTAGTTTTGACTCTCCCTGTATATACTATAGAAGTGTAAAATTAGATTAATGACGTAGTAAAATCTTTATAGACATAATGAACATGTATTTGCGTTATATGTACCAGCTGGGTATGTATATCACATGACCGATAAACCATACTAAAAATAACATAAGATAAATCGTATATCTAGGTCATTTCACAATAATTCAATTCAATGCAGCTTTTTGAACATTTTTTATACTTTCGGATTTGATATGAGCCGACTCCGTGTTCAAGTAATTGTTCTCTTTAATTACTGAAACAATTATGCATATACAGGGTGAATCTAAAATAACGGCAAATATTTTCAGGACTGGTAGGGACAGATCTCGATAAACATTTCACCGTTCTTCAAATAAGTACAAAATAACCAAGATATTTTACTTTGAAATTTAAAAAAAAATGATTTATTTTGAAAAAATTTTCAGAGACACCGGATTGTTTTTATATTGCATTCCTTTTAGTGTCGTAACATAGAGTAAAGCCGTAACCCTGGTAATATCAAATATTAAAAAACACCGTGGGAAAATTTGCAGCAAAAGTATTCTAAAATATACAGGAAATTTTTTAAAAAAAATACACGATTTTCAACATCTTTTCTTCCACTCCTAAAAATATTTGCACTTATTTAAGACTCATCCTGTATGTATTACAAATAATACGTATGATCGAAAAAAAACGGCGTCAAAGACGGCTGGGGAAAGACAATCGATAGTAATTTTGGCGAGGTCAGTCTATAGACAATCTTACTAGAAATTGACATAATAAAACTTGTCGAAAATTAACGCTAATTATAGAATGATTAATTAATAAATTAATTGCCAGACACGAAAATCTATTTCCAAAAAATCATTTAAAAAAATTTAAACTACAAATCATTTTTACTTAATATAAAAATAAGTTACAACCTTGTTAAGGTCAAATGGCAGAACAGAAAATAGAGAAATACATAAAAGTATTAAAAATATAATCATAAAAAAACGATAAAGCACAAAAATTTACGATTTAATTAATCTTACCTTCAAATTTGCTCAGAACTCACATGTTCACTAGTATCCTTCTTGAATATATTTCAGCTAGTTTACCGCTAGAAAAATGTCAACAAGATCACTAAACACCACGTCGCAAGAAATTTTGACAGAAAAAACTTTGAAACATAAACAACAAATTAATCTTGAACCCAATTTTAAGTGTATTACAAAAACAACAATTCTATGTAGGTTTTACAGCTTGTGTTCTTCACTTCAACCCAATTTTAAAGTCTTCTTCTTTCAGTGAGCATATAGAATTGGTACCAACAACTTATTTCTATTGAACGATTTTACACTCTTCTTGATTCAGTGAAATTAAAATTATCCAATTATAATCTTTAGAGCCTCTCATATGCATTAGATATCAAGTTATTTTGATTGTTTCTCCAAGAATTCAGTTTTGCTGGTATGAATACAGCATACTTCCTTTAGTGAACATAAAATCAGTATTATTTTGTCTCTAGAAGCTCTCTTGCATCAAAAATCTGCCTTATTTTGAGTTCTTCTTTTAAAATTGTATTTCTACTGGACTAAATACAGTTTGTTTCTTCCAGTTAACTTAAAGTTATTGATTAACTATATAACTTAATTATTTCTTTTAAAATTCAATTTCTTCTGGACCAAATGTACTCTTCTTCCTCCAGTAATATTCAAATCAATACTGTTTTTATACAGAAACACTAATAAATAAAAAAACTGACTTATTTTGAATAAATCTTTGAAAGTTCAATTTCTACTAGCCCATATAGAACCATCTTCATCCAGTGAACCTAAATTTGGTTCTATTTTGCCTTCAGAGTCATCAAATATCGGACTTTCTTTGATTGCTTCTTTTAAGTTTCAGTTTCTACTGGACCAAATACACTCTACGTCTTCTAGTGAACTTAAAACCATCTCTATTTTGTCTCCAAAATCTCTCCTACATCCAAAATGGACTGAATCATATCTTCTTTGTCCAGTGAAGTTAATAACTGTTCTCACGACGTTTTAGGAGAGTCAGGTGTATACATATATCCAAATTATTTTAATAGTTTCATTGCTTCTTCTAAAATTCTATTACTACTGGGCTAAATAGACTTTACTTCATCCAGTAGACTTAAAATTAGTACTACTTCGTCTCCAGAATATCCACTGCATCGAATATCGTACTTAACCTGATTGTTTCTTTTAAAATTCAAATTTTACTGTACCAAACACACTCTACTTAATCAAATGAACTAAAAATTAGTACTATTTTGTCTTCAGAACGTCTCCTGCCTCAGAAATCGAACATATTTTAATGCATTCTTCTAAAATCCCATCTCTAGCGGACCAAACGATGTCATCTTAATTCGGTAAACTTTATAATCGGTACTCACGTCGTGTGCGGATAGTTTTGTGCCATTCAAGTGACCCACTACGCGTACCGCGCGAAATGAAACTGAAAGTGATCTCAGCGAAGCGTGGTCGATGTCCTAGTACTACCAAACTCTGAGGTCTGGGTTGTTGGAACCGCAAAGACAGACGTCAAGGGAGGGTATAGATTATATTCTTTCTGTCTTGTGATAATGATTAAAGCATTTAACATGTGTCAGTTTTAAAAAAGTTCTATAAAAAAGGCGGACTTGATTTATAGAAAATGTGACACAGAGTTGCAATGCAAAAATTATAACGAAAAAACCGATAGCCCCTCGAAAGATAAAATATACTTTTTTTAATTCAATCTATAATCTCATATAAATGAATGTATTCCTCAGTCATCTGCATTAGATAGGCATTAGTATTGTATAGCTATTGCTTGTTTGATAATGTTTTTAGTTTTATTTTTCCAACACACATATTTATTTTTCTATCTGTTTGTTTTTATTGGGACACTCTATATATTTACATTACACAGAAACACACTGCATAGATGCATTTAACAGGAAATGATAATAAAAATATGATAGGCCGTTGCACTATGCACTTGGCGATGTTGTCTAGTTTATTTAATTTAACCTTTGTATTTCTATCAAGTAACGGTTTGTGGTACTCATATTCTATTATAATATGTTCTGATTTGGACTGAAATGTTAATAGTGTTGGGGGAGAACCAGGGAGAAACAGCGGTAGTTACTCTTATTTTGTCTTAAAGCTGAAAAAACAAAACCAGTATTTGTAACGTTGAAAAAAATATTAATAAAATTATAAAAAAATCAAAATTATACCTGTCGTATGCAAAATTTTATATTCTATCAGAATATGTCTTACTTTGAGCTGAAATGTCAATAGTGTTGAGGGAGAGCCCGGGAGAGACAGCGGTAGTTTCGCTTATTTTGTCTTAAAGCTGAAAAAGAACAAAACCAGTATTTGTATCGTTGAAAAAAATATGAACAAAATTCTAAAAGAATTAAAGCTATACTTGTCGTATGCAGAATTTTATATTCTATCAGAATATGTCTTAGTTTGAGCTGAAATGTCAATAGTGTTGAAGGAGAGCCCGGGAGAGACAGCGGTAGTTTCGCTTATTTTGTCTTAAAGCTGAAAAAACAAAACCAGTATTTGTATCGTTGAAAAAAATATTAATAAAATTCTAAAGAAATTAAAACTATACTTGTCGTATGCAGAATTTTATATTCTATCAGAATATGTCATAGTTTGAACTGAATTGTTAAAACTGTTGAGGGAGAGCCCGGGAGAGACAGCGGTAGTTCCGCTTATTTTGTCTTGAAGCTGAAAAAACATGACCAGTATTTGTACCATTGAAAAAAATATTAATAAAATTCTAAAGAAATTAAAACTATACTTGTCGTATGCAGAATTTTATATTCTATCAGAATATGTCTTAGTTTGAACGGTAGTGTTAATAACTTTAAGGGAGAGCCCGGGGGAGACAGCGGTAATTCTGCTTATTTTGTCTTAAAGCTGAAAAAACAGTACGAGATTTATACTGTGGAAAAAAATATTTTTAGCAAAGTTAAATAAGAAGTTTTAACTGGCAATGGATAATAATAATATTCAATTGGGTGTACAAGTTTCGTATTGTGTAACTAAAAATGTTTAAATTGAACAAAAGAATCTTTCAGGGTCTCCCATATCACGATTTATTAGTCATTTTGTGCCCTAAAAAGTACTATGATGGTGCCAACATATTTGTCATTTCAACTACTTCTAAAGCGGGTCAAAGAGATACCCATATTAGGTACGATATATCTGCTTCTACGTCTGTATTTTGCCCTGTTATGTATTTTTTTTAACTATAAATCTATAAATAATATACTCTAGTAATTTCATTTTAGTTAATTTGATTTTACGTGGTAAAAATTTGTTAAAAGAATATTGTGATGTAATATCAAATTTGGAAATCATCTCTCTGAGATCATACTTATTCCAAATTAGCAATAGAGCACGTGATAGTGCTACATGACCGACTATGGAGCCTATCTCTGTCACGATGATCTCATCTAAATGCGAGAAAGTACCCAGCTAAAATCACCGAAAAAAAATCAAACGATAATGCAAGAAAGAAATTGAAGAAAAGTGAAATTTCTAGACCATATAACCACCTAGACCCTTCTTTTTCACAGAACCTTGTAACCAACATAATATAAGAAAATTTAACGTCATGAGGGCAAAAGTAGAAAGTGTAAAAATCGCAACGATAATAAAGAGCAAGGAGTTTCGTTTCATAGGTAAATAGACAGTCCACTCCACCTTTTTGTCATTTTCTTATTGAATTCGATAATTATTTTTCTATACTAGTCGATAGGTACTAGTTTTGTAGATTTTGTTAACATTTTAATACGTTTTTTTTGTAATTAATTAGTATAATACCACCTAAATAAGCAGCATACACAACAGGCGTAGTCAAAACATTTGTGAGACAGGAAATTGTAGAGAGAAACAAGCCCTATAACATAGGATACAACATTTTAATGAACAGTGCTTTCCATAAAATCAATAAAATGAAAAATATACGAAATAATATACATGTACTGATTTCTTTCGAAAATCGACAACTATGAAACTCAAAAATAAACATATCTTTTCAAGCAGCTAAGTCAAGAAAAATATGTGGCATGGCACTGTTTGGAGGTATGGTAACAATTAGGTCTCGGGTATTATTGGTCCTTGTATTCTTTTAGTCTCATTGAAACACTGTAACCAACATAATATAGGAAAATTTGATGTCAATAGTGGGCAAAATGAATTCTTAGAGTATAAAAAACGCCACCACAAAGAAAAGAATCTCTAGACCATAAAACCAGCTAGATACTATTTTTGCCAAATCTTTGTATCCAACATATGACAAAAGTCGACGTCATAACAGGGCAAAAAAGTACCTAGACCATAAAGCACCTATAAATTTCTTTTTTTGGAACATTGTGAGAATATGTATTTATTTGACGTCGTCACTGGGCTTTACATGGATCTTATTTTCTTTTATTTCATAGGCAGACATTTCACAGATAGTTTGTCTTGAAAATAGAGGTAATAGAAATATACAAGATTCTAATAAGTCAGAAAATCGACTGATTTTGCGACAAGAAAATAAGAAAAAAGGTTCAAAGTCGTCTAGGAAATGTAATAGGGGGTACAAGCCTGAAGATATACATTACAGAATCGCTGTATTAACATAATTAAACGATCTAAAGCTGAAAATCTCTTCTTCGAGGCGCCGATCATCGCGACCTGCAACCTCCACCATCAGCGGACATTCCAAATTGGGCCAGGGCTCTTACGTAACGTCTAATTAGCAGGATGTTTTCTAGAAGAGCGACAGGAGACGGAGACAAGGCGGTCTCGTCCCATTTGGCAACACAGCTAAGGCCACCGAAAAGGATGTACGCGACTTTGCGTTGCGTAATCACCTCCAATAATTTCTCCTTTTTCGCTGACGAAGCTTAACGCGAAGCCATCCATCAAATCGTCACGATTTGCGCCTTGAAAATCGTTAATTATTCGTAAAAATTGTATTAGGCGCCAAAAGCGATATGCAACCAGACATACACTGCGGTGTATGTTTGGTTGCATGCAAGTATATTTTATTTTGACATGACAGTAGTTATGTCATTTGTCAAAGGTCCATGTGTTATTTTTGAAGAAAACAGCGAAGAAAATGAGCGACAAAATAGCAGAAAATTTAGCAAATATGAAAGTAGACGGTGGTGAAAAGGCATGAACATTTTTTATTTCACGTTTTTACGTTAGAATGTTGAAGGTTTTAAGTTATTCAAAACCTGGGCTAGCCGTAATAAGCCGGCATACTTTTGCCACATTGGTGTGTAGAAAAAGTTCGTGGTATAAAATAGTTTGTAGGTTTTTCCGGACACTCGGTCTTTTAGCCCTGAGTCATCGATTTTTAACTGTAATTCTGATGCAACGAATGTTGACTTTACGCTCGGTTTACACCTTTTTAATTTGCGATAGTTTTGAGTAAATGTTTTCATAAAAACGTAATTTACAGGCGAAAATGAAGAAAGAAAAGACCAAACCGGCGGGTGGAAGTGGAGAGAAGCCCGCTGTGAGTGAACTAAAACCACCCCCATCCTTTATAGAAGACCGTCTAAACCTTTGGAACAAACTAAAGGCAGAGTACGATGCAGAAATCTCTTCAAAACCCGAAACACCCATTAAGGTCACTCTGCCTGACGGTAAAACTGTAGAGGCCGTCGCTTGGAAGACGACAGTATATGATATAGCCAAGGGCATAAGGTACAGATCATGCTTTCTTTTAAGAAATGAAATTAAAATACGATTTTAGTCAGGGATTAGCCGATAACGCTGTCATTTCCAAAGTAAACGGAGTTTTGTGGGACTTGGATAGGCCTCTAGAGTCAGATTGTTCTGTGCAACTTCTTAAATTCGACGATCCCGAAGCACAGGCTGTGTTCTGGCATTCTACAGCACATATGCTTGGCGAAGCCTTAGAAAGAATATACGGGGGGCATCTTTGTTACGGTCCTCCTATTGAAAGTGGGTTTTATTATGATATGTGGCTAGAAGAAAAAGGGGTAAGTAAAGATTTATTTTTTTATTATTTTTTCTTTTCAAAGAGAGTTTTATAGGTTTCCCAAAGCGATTTTCCCACAGTAGAAAGTCTAATGAAAAATATAGCTAAAGAAAAACAGCCTTTTGAGCGTCTGGAAATGAAGAAAGAAGACTTATTGGAAATGTTCAAATATAACCCTTTTAAAGTGAGAATATTAAACGAAAAGGTTAATACTCCTACGACCACTGTGTACAGGTGTGGGCCCCTAATTGATTTGTGTAGGGGGCCACATGTTAGGCATACTGGCAAAGTTAAGGCCTTGAAAGTTACTAAGGTTAGTTCAAATAGTTATATTGTTATATTTCTTTTTTTATTTATTTGTTTTTAGAACTCTTCAACTTACTGGGAAGGCAAGGCTGATGCCGAAACGCTTCAAAGAGTGTACGGGATTAGTTTTCCAGATAACAAACAGTTAAAGGAGTGGGAAAAATTTCAGGAAGAGGCTGCTAAAAGGGATCATAGAAAAATCGGAAAAGTATTAGGTTAAGTCGTACAAAAACCATTTTTTTTAACCATGTTTGTGATTTTAGGAGCAAGAATTGTTCTTTTTCCACGAACTCTCACCTGGTTCGTGCTTTTTCCAGCCCAGGGGGGCCCATATCTACAATACTTTAGTGGAAATGATTAAAAAAGAGTACAGGGAGCGTGGTTTTCAGGAAGTGATTAGTCCGAATATTTTTAATGCTAAGTTGTGGAAAACTTCGGGTCACTGGGCTCATTATGCTGTGAGTTTTTGAATATTTATTTTATTTTTTTAATGTTTTTGAGTGAAATGAGATTGTTTTTTTTAGGATAATATGTTTTCTTTCGATGTGGAGAAGGAAACTTTTGCTTTGAAGCCGATGAACTGTCCAGGACACTGGTAAGATGAATAATTTTTTTTTTATATTGTACTGTGTAAAATTTTTACAAAGTCAAGCATATTTAATTAGTACATTGCCCATCCTTGTCGAAGGATGGGCTATGGACTAATAAATATGATTTTTATCATAGTTTTAAAGGTGTTTATTTACTAATTTTTACGTCTTTTATATACATTTTCTTTATACCAATATGTAAAACACGGGAAGAAATTTGCAACTTAACGTAAAAAAAAGTTTTTTACAAGGTAGTTTTTTCATGTAGTATTAACACTTAAAAAAAACATAAAATACCTAACAATCTGCGCCTAATAAAGCCTCTTCAAAAACTTAAAATATTTTAATATATTATAAGAAATTAAAATTAAAAATTTTTTTACAAAGTAATTTTTTCACTGTAAAAAGACATTTTAATTCATTTTACTACGTTTGGTAATTTTATTGATAATATTATATTTTTTATTTTATGTAGAAATTGAAATTCTTTTTGCTCTCGAGTGGATAAAAAATACCTAACGTAAATAACTGTTTTTACACGGTAATTTTTTTTTATTTTGTGTAGAAATCGAAATTTAAGCAGAGATGATAGAAAATCCATCTCTCGTTCCTCTCTATTTTCCCATCCCTGCCAGGGATGAACCACTAAGTAAATCTTAAAGTAAAAAACAGTTTTTTATAAGGTAGGTTTTTCACGTAGTATAGTAAAAACGTAAAAACTATTAAATACTTACATTCAGAGACTAGTAAAGCTTTTCCAAAATCGTAATCATAACACTGTTAATGAACTTTGTAAAAAAGATATGTTATTATTTTCCCATCCTTAGTAGGGATGGAGGAGTAAAATATCCTTAATGTAAAAAACTATTTTTGTACAAGGTAGTTTTTTCAGGTAGTATAAAAACTTCTAAATACATAAAATACCTACATTTACAGATTAGTAAAGCTTCTCTAAAAGCGCTGTTAACTGTTATTGCACTTATGAACAAATTGTTTTAATTTGTGTAGAAAACAAAATTTATGCAGAGGTAATAGAAAATATATGTGTAGGAAGAAAGAGAAAATGTTATTTTTTATTCTATTGTTTTTTAGGGTTCTGTACCCAAAGAGTATAAACGGGAACCTTATTTTAACCCTATACTAAAAACAGAATTAAATAAATGTTTATAAATGAAAAAGTACTTTCATTAAACATTATCTTTTAAGTAAGAATTTTACATAGAATCTTTCAAGTCCTCGGTGGCCGCGTCGTTAAAGCGTTAGGACTTTACGCTGCTATGACGTTGGAGCCGTAGTAAGGCAGGTTCGAATCCTAGCCAAGGCGACTTTTTTTAATCGTTTTTTTTAATTTTTACATATTTATTTTTACTTTTTACATATTTATTTTTACTTTTTACATATTTATTATTGATTAACACAATTTTTAGTAATGTGTTTCTTCATTTTTTTTTAAATTACTTATACGCGCTTTCAAAATTTCAGCTAAATCGGAAAAAAGTTTATAATAATATAGTGTCTAATGTTGTATAGATAATGAACGGTACGGAACCCTTCGTACGCGAGTCCGACTCGCACTTTCCACCAAAAGACGAATTAAATCGCCAATTTGATTGAACATAACCTACAATTATTGTTTCTACCCCTTCCCAGCTTGATTTTCGACAACCGAAACCGCTCCTGGCGCGAATTGCCGCTGCGCCTGGCCGATTTCGGTGTTCTGCACCGCAACGAGCTCTCCGGCGCGCTCACCGGCCTGACCCGCGTGCGCAGGTTCCAGCAGGACGACGCGCACATCTTCTGCGCCCCCGACCAGATCAAGCAGGAGATCATGGGCGCCTTGGACTTCCTCGAGGCCGTCTACGGCATCTTCGGCTTCACGTTCGACCTGGTGCTCAGTACCAGGCCGGAGAAGTATTTGGGCGAGGTGCAGATGTGGAACGAGGCGGAGAAAGCGTTGACGGAGAGTTTGGACGATTTCGGACAACTCTGGAGGGAGAATCCAGGAGATGGTGCTTTCTACGGGCCGAAGATTGATATTACTATCAAGGACGCGTTGAAGAGGTCGCACCAGTGCGCTACGATCCAGCTGGACTTCCAGTTGCCGATCAGGTTCAACCTGTCGTTTGTCAGGTAAGCAGGGTGCAAAAAACTTAGATCTTATAAACTTCGTGGATAAGTAAATTCGCTTCATTTTTGTTGAAGCGACATTCGTTCACAAATCATTGGACCCTACAGGTATAGTCTGTGAAACGATTAACTTTGAATTTGACAGTTCCCGCGGGCTTTCCTAGTGTTAATTTTATTAAGTTAGCAACTTGCGGCCATGCTGAAGCAATGCCGTCTCTAATAGAACAGCCACGGAGCGAATTTTATGACGTCACGCTAGTTGGATACTACGGATTAATAAATATGTTGTAGAATACATGGAAAACATAATTATTCCTCGTATATGTAATTTTATGGATTATATTCGACACTATTTTTTTCATATGACACAACACTGATGAAGGCTATAAACGTTAGCTATAACGTTTTTTTTTAAACCAAAAAAAATAATGAAAACTTAATCAGCGTTTTTCCCGAACCTAAATCCCAAGAAAATCAAAAATTTTAGAATAATTTTACATATAAAATGACAGCGATCTTTATTTCATAGCCATCGCTGACCCCTTTTTTCCTATGATATTGTATTATTTGCAAATATAAATTTTTCAAACATTGATGCTTTCAAAATATACATATAAATTTTGTAAATGCAAATGATAATATATCACTATTAGTAGATATTGAATGTTTTTTGTTAAATTAGATCGATTTTCAAATCCCAAAATTTAAAATATATTTTACATTTTACCCATTATCTTATGTGCCTAATCATTATTTGTATATTGTAAAACATTTGCTGCATTTGTATGGTTCATAGTATATTTGCCAAAGTATTTATTACTATAAATAGGTATATATATATTGTATTTATTAACTGTATATTATGTATATTTTATGTAAACTATATCATTTTTAAAATACAAACCAAAAATACGAGGAATAATTATGTTTTCCATGGATTCTACAACATATTTATTAATCCGTGGTATCTAACTAGCGTGACGTCATAAATCTCGCTCCGAGGCTGTTCTATTAGAGACGGCATTGGGCTGATATTTAGAAATGTCAAAAGCTGATGACATTTTACTTTTGTCAATTATGACATTTCGCGTCGATTTTTGCAAGAAGAGGAAGAACTGTCACTTGTTTTATTATTTTCCTTTTCTATTTCATGAAAGTAAAAAGAGTTACCTATCTGATTCGTTCAGGCACTCATTTTAAAGAATATCAGTAACTTTTTGGACAGAGGGATTTGATATTTGCCATGTTGGTAAAAAATAACGGTCAAAATTCAAAGTTATTCATTTTATAGACTATAAGAGTGAGAGAGTAACTTCCTTTTTGTCTTTTTGCTTTCTTTCTTGTTTCTATGACTCTTGGAAGACAGTGAGTGCAGTGGGTAAGGCAGAATTTGTGTAACATACGAGCCGGCAACATTGCAACGTTTCAATACATCGTCGTCTGGAACTTTAAGACACTAAAAAGTTTTTCTTTTAAATAAAAACAATTTTTTCGCTGAAAAAAACTCGGGGCATGTTTCTGAGTTCAAACTATACCGGGTGCGTCTCGAAAGTGGCATTTGGAAAAAGGATTTTTTTGTTTGAATAATTTGGTACCACACACTTGGTATTTTCAGTCTAAAAATTCAAATAAACCATAAGCGAAATTGTCAAAAGTTGACATATAATAAGTCAATCTATTCACAGTGTCATTTTCTATCAAAGTAAAAAATACCAAGGGTGTCATTTAAAAATCAAAAGTTGTAGTGATTTCCGGTAAAACAGGAAGTGACCATAAACAATTGAATACGTCAATCAATACTAATTTATGTCATATACTAACATACCAAATCTCGTTTTTTTATCTGAAATAATAAAAAAGTTATAGGGGGTGAGCCACTTTATACGGTATACCAATTAAAACACTTGCTTTTATTTCTAGATACACCCTATATATTATTAATTTAAAATAATATCTAGGTAGAGAGACTTTGATATGTATAGCAAACGATCGAAAAAAATCGGCGTCAGAGATAGCTTGGACACGAAGATCGCTGTCGTTTTCTGTATTAAATTATATGGTCAAAATTGTCTATCGTCATTTTCAAACCAATTTGACGCCTTTTTTCGTTCATGCCTTATATTATGGTTGCAGAAATATTCTGACTGATCTTTCGATAATATGATCAATATTTTTCAGTGAGAGTGGTGACAAAAAACGGCCGGTAATCATACACAGGGCTGTATTAGGATCGGTAGAACGAATGATAGCAATACTAACGGAGTCCTACGGCGGTAAATGGCCGTTTTGGCTATCTCCCAGACAGGTAGCCTAAAATTTCACGCTTTAGTCTCATTTTACAAACTAAAAAACGTTTTTTTTATAGGTTATGGTGGTTCCCGTTGGTCCAAACTACGATCAGTACGCCGAAGAAGTACAAGAAAAGCTCTATACTGAGGGATTTATGGCCGAGGTTGATACGGATCATGGAGATACGTTAAATAAGAAAATCAGGAACGCTCAGCTAGCTCAGTTCAACTTTATTTTGGGTAAGTGATTTGAAAAAAAATGATTTTTATTAGCTTATATATACTCTCAGGAGATTCAATCGATCTTGTTTTATGTTGGCTACAAAACGAATGGGACTGAAGCGTGTGTCTAGGTGTTTGATGGTCTAAGATTGTAAAAATTACTACTAAAATTCTACACTGAAAAAATTATACATTTTGTTTTAAATTGGTTTTATGTGTTACTTTATAATATTATTATTTACGTATTTTTTATTTAAAAAATGTAGAATATAAACTTTTTTTTGTCTTAGCTACGGAACAAATTACAATAAAGCGTGTATCTAGGTGTTGAACGGTCTAAGGTTATAAAAATTATTAAAATCATGCTCTAAATATAATAGTTTATTTGTTAAATTCAATTTATATGTTAATTATTACACATAATACATTGTTAATGGCTTTTGGTTGTATTTTATGATTTATTTTTATTTAAAACAGCTTCTAATAACATTTTTATTGACTCGGACATAATATAATGGGTTTGTTTTATGTCGGCTACAAATTGAAAGGGACTGAAGCGTGTGTCTAGGTGTTTGATGGTCTAAGATTGTAAAAAAGCGTCAAAATTTATAAAATTTAGCACTAAAATTCTACACTTCAAAAATGTATACTTTCTTTTTTAATGTGGATTTATGTGTTATTTTCTAATAGTATTATTATTTACGTTTTTTTTTATTTAAAAAATGTAAGATCTAAATATTTTTAATGTTGACTACAAAACGAACGACAGTAAAGCGTGTATCTAGGTGTCTGACGCTCTAAAGTTATAAAAATCAGTACAATCATACTCTATATAAAATATTTTATTTTATACATAATACATCGGTGATGCACTATGGTTAAATTTTGATTTATTTTTATTTAATTATTTTTTATGGACATTTTTATTGACTCGGACATAACGTAATGAGCATGTTTTATGTTGGCTACAAAGTGAATGGGACTGAAACGTGTGTCTAGGTGTTTTATGATCTAAGGTTATAAAAATTAGTACTAAAATTTTACACTCGAAAAATCTATACATTCTTTTTTAAAGTAATTTATGTGTTACTTTATAATAGTATTATTATTTATGTATTAATTATTATATATGTATAAGATATTGGTGATGCATTATGGTTATATTTTATGATTAATTTTTATTGAAATATTTTCTACGGACATTTTTATTGACTCGGACATGACGTAATGAGCTTGTTTTAATGTTGGCTACAAAGTTAATGGGACTGAAGCGTGTGTCTAGATGTTTGATGGTGTAAGATTGTAAAAATCACCCCTAAACACACGTTCTCCACTAAAAAAAATTTCATTCTTTTTTAATTTTTAATTTACATTTTTTTTTATTTATATAATATTATTAATGTTCTAAGGCCATATTTATTGACTCGGGCATAACGTAATGAGCTTGTTTTATGTTGGCTACAAAGTGAATAGGACTGAAGCGTGTGTCTAGGTGTTTGATGATCTAATGTTTTAAATATTAGAAGTAAAATCACAGATATAGAAGTAGTGAGAGTAAGAAGTCCGTATTGTTACATATTACTTGAATTTTAAGTTGTTCTTCTTCAGTTGTAGGAGAAAAGGAACGGTCCAGCAACACCGTGAATGTCCGTACCAGGAACAACGTTGTGCACGGTGAAATCTCCGTAGAAGGATTAGTAGAAAAATTAAAGTACCTCAAAGACAACTATGCTGTCGAGGAGGATAAATTTTAAAGCAGTATCACTTAAAATTACGCTTTTAAAAATTCCTTTTCTCTAAAACTACGTATTATAATTTATTTGGTTATTTATAAGATGCATTTAAAATAAAACTCGTTGAAAAACTATACGTTTTCTTATTATTTTTTGGAAATACCTAAAAAAATAAGGGCAAAAATCTAGTCTTTTTGGGCTCAGAGAATACCGGACTCGTTCTTTTTTATGTTGACTACAAAATTATTAGTGTTAACGCATGGTATCTATGTGTTTCATGATCGATGGTTACGGAAATAGTATGAGAATTATACTGTTAAATATAGTACTATATTTTTGCCTTCAAGTGACGTCACGAAAGGGTTTCATAAGAGAAGAACAACCGTACGATTGTTCTTCTCTGGTTTCATGTTGGCTATAACAACTAGTAATGGCAAAGCGTGTACCAACGTCTTTTATGCTCTAAGGTCGTGAAATAAAACAATCTGGTAAACAAATAAAACGATTCTTTATTTATATAGTTCTCTTGGAAAACGAAAAAGTATAGAAAAAGATTTTTAATCTAGGTAATGTAAAAATGTAAATAAAAATACTGGCAGCGCGTCTTCACCGTTTGAAGTACCACACGCAGTACAGCACAGCGTAAAGGAGCAGGCACATGAGAATGGGAGCCCAGATATTGGCAGTGAAGAACTGGAAGAACAACAGCATATACAGAGGGGGTTCAGCTCAGCATCCATCCAGAACCGAAAAAACCACGAGGGGTTCGAGGTTATCTTCTTTTTAGGTACCAAAATCCGGCGGCTATGGCCAGACAACACACCACGACCAACGTGGTACCTGTGACGTAGTTAACAGATCGGTGCAGCACAGTACCCTAGAATAAAAAGACAAAAAAATCGTATTATTCAGAGTTTACACACCACACAGTATAAAAAATTTCCTCTTAAATAATAGCATGCATATTTTTTGTCCTGATGGGACGTCACATTTTTTTTCCATGTTGGCTTCAGAACCAGTAATACAAAAACGCGTGTCTACAGGGTTATTTGCCTTATTTTCAAAAGGTGCCGAATGTCCCAAGTACATAAAAAATATCAAAGTTGTATTTTTTAAATGAAACACCCTATATATTATTACATTTTTAGTATAAACGAGAATTTCATTAAGGTTTATCGCATTTTAATCTTACCGTTTCTGAAATATTTACGATTTTGTAAAAATACAGTAACAATAATTTTAATGCTTCATTTCTCTGGACGTATTTCAGTTTTAAAACTAAATATTGTACTGCGGTTTTTCTGTTTTTTAAATATTGTGTTGCAATAATAAAAATAATAGTACCTTATACAGAGTGTCCAAAAATTTATTTTAAATAGTTACTAGCTTTAAACGGCAATAACTTCTTTAATTTAAATGGAACACCCTGTATATTTTACGTGAACCAGATGCACAATTTAATTCTCTATCAAATTGTATTACATCATTTTTACCTAGCTCTACAAGTTTTCGTAAAAAACGCATTTTGTTATAATTTAGACCTCAGATATTTTTTGTTTATTTCGGACACTCTGTACCTTTTGAAAATACTTTTAAATTGTAGCTTTAGCAGTCCTCCAACAATACAATCACTCACAATTTCTAAAAATCCAATCATTTGGCTACAATACTCCGTGTTGAATGAGGTGAACAACCCTGTATACATAAATTCAAATTTTTTTTGAAATATGCACTATTTCCTATAATAGACATAAGTGTGATTTTAAACACTTACCCATCCACCTTGAGATTCGACCCAGCTCGAAAATCTTCCGCTCAAAAAAACAGTCGTCCAGTTGTAGATGTCCAAAAAATGATTGATAAACTTTTCCTGGAAAGCCCTAACAGAGAGATCGGTACAAAAATAGAACAACACCAACACTCGTTCCCACGTTACACCACCCTCCTGAAAAAAAAACGTTTTTTTTAACTTACTATCTGTCACAAAACTCTCAAAAATGACAGTTTCACTCACCTCAAACAAACCGTTCAGTAGCTGTTGAAAAGTGATAAAATTCAACGAATCCAGGTCGACGTTTTGAGCCTGCTCGTACACCCACAGTCTTTGAGGCGATTGAGCGAATTGCCCTGCCAAAGCCCTGAGATTTCTAGCGTTCCAAAAGCCTGGCCGGTGCCTACCCAATGCCGGATCGATTTGGGCTATTTCCAGGCCTAATTCCTGCATCTGTTCTCTCAGCATTAGTAGATAGAGTGCGTTTGCTTCATGTACCGTCTCCCTACTAGGAGGATTTTCTAAGTTATCTTGTAAATAGTACCCGGGGTTCAGTCTCCGGTTAACGCTTCTCTGAGGTCTGGGCAGTTGACTTCTTAAACTCACGCCGGTACTACGTTTCTTGGTCGATTTCCGTTCTTCCAGTTCTTCATTGGGGGGCAGAAGATCTCCCCCGGCTTCGGCCTGTATATCTTTCGTCAAATCGCCCATTTTTTCCAAACGTTTTGGATTTTTCCGGCTTAAAATCGAGGTAAATCTTAAAAGAAACGTTCCGCTCGACTAGGGCAACAATAACATCGTACAAAAATAAATAAGAACCTAGCGTATCTGCATATTTTTACCGAAAAAAGCTACATTTTTTGCGGTTGTGATGTTTTTTGAAAAAATATAACCTAAAAAATTTTGACAGCCGTGTATTTCGCGAGTGCGCGAAGGATGGGGAAGATTGGCGTAGGTTGGAAAGAGAGGGAGATGTTTTGTGAGATAGTGATGGGGCATATCGATTTCTATATTAGTAAGGGACATATAATTATTAATATTTACTAAATTATCAATGTTTATTAAAGAAATATGCCAAAATAGTTACAAAATCAAAATTATAATTTATTTTTAGAAAATAACTTAAAATATTTCTAACTAGGTATTCTTTAAGTTATTATCTTTAATTACTTTCTCCAAATTTGCGTTCCATTGCTTTATTTTATTAAGAACATCCTCCAAAGGACAATATTTGTTTTTAACCGTATTTAAAAGTAATTCTACGCCATCTAAAACTTGAATTCTGTGAGTATTTGAAGGATTGTCCTTAATATCGCATCTTAACGTATCTTTGTCCTCTTGAACAGCTTGGAGATGTAAATTTATATTGTACTGTTCTGATTCAGAAGATTTATGTATCATTTCTGTAGTTTGGATAGTTTTTTTAGTGTCTTTTTCAATTTTATTATTTTCCAAAGTATTTTCTTGGTTTTCTTCATCACTGTCACCATTTCCATTGTTGTCTTCCTCAAGCTCCTCATTTTCACCATTTTTTTCTTTAATAAGTTCCTTATTTTTCCGAATCATTGCACTAACTTCCTCATTATATTTCTTCAAATACTTCATAGCAACCTCATATGGGAACAGATTGGAGTAATACAAGTTATAGGTTAATTTCTGAATCTCCTGATACAAGGCTTCCTTGACATCTAAATTTTCGTGATAAAACAAAGGCTCCAATATTCTTAAGTTCGCTTTTTTTGCGTGATCTACAGAATCGTTATGCTCATAGAAATCGCTGTAAGAACACTGGACGTTGCATGTGTGACAAAACAGTTTTTTAGCTGTGCTGGAAATAAAAAAATAGTATACAGTGTGCTACAAATTCGAGGTACGAGCATTGGTATCTCAGTAACCGTAATAGATACGAATATGGTTAAATTGGGGCAAAGTTGCGCATCAAAAAACTTTTAAAAATTTCAAGGATTGCTGAGTTTTTTGGAAAAAACTGATTTTTTTGAAAATCAATTTTATTTTTTCCTGTCTGAGAGAGAAAATGTAATGGAATGGGCATTAATCTGGGAGATACCTGTCTATATACCCTGCAGTTCGCAGATGATCAAGTTCTTATGGCCAACGATTAAGATGATTTGGAGTACATGACAAGGAAACTACAAGAGGAATATCAACGATGGGGTTTGGAAATAAATACAGGAAAAACTAAATATCTACCTATTGGTGCAGAACTATCTAGCGTACATCTAGAAAATGAAGAGATAGAAGCCTGCAATGACTACACCTATCTAGGAGTGATATTTGATACAACAGCTAAAGATGACAAAGAAATTAAAAAACGAATATCACAAGCTAGAAGAACAATTGGCTGTCTGAATGGAGTATTTTGGAGTAATGAAATAGGGAAGAAACGGAAGATCAATATATACGAGACCCTGGTAAAGAGCAGTCTACTTTATGGTGCAGAGACTTGGCGAATAACGGAAGCCAACCGAAAAAAACTGGAAGCGGTAGAAAACGAACTTTTTTACTTATTTTTATTTGCAGAATATGCTGCTGAAGTTTCCGGAATACAGTTCGGACCACCCTGTATCCAGGGGGGGTTGACTTACCTTATATGTCTTTTGGATTTTTTATGGTCTTCCAGTGTGCCCAGAAACCCCATATTGCAAATCCCACAGGAACCTGACGCATGTTTATTGAACATCTTCAAACTTAAAAATGTGTATATTAATAAATAATGTAGAACTGTTTTAGTAATAATTGTTAAACAAAAATATACTCACCTGTTTTATGAATAATATAACTACGACTTATAAATTTCTACTCTGTGCTATGCTATAATACGATCTGTTGGTTTTTGAGTAAAATACAGGTGATAAGATATTATAATCTTTTAACTCTGTGATATAATCGATAGTATTGGAAATATTATGCCCCGCCTACATGTAATGTTTTACCTACACGTGGCGTTTTACCTTACGTCTTGCCTGCATGTGTTCAAAACGTATCAAGTAAAAACACAGGCTCGTTATTTACGTTTAAACGTGACCCAGTCATCGCGTGATAAATGTGGAGAATTCTAAAAAATAATATATTTGCAACAGTACCAACTTTCAACATGTACCCTACTGTTTTAGGGATTTTGCAGTGTACCGGGTGTCCCACCAAAGAATAGCCCTCGGCTGTATCTCGGAAAGTATTAGCCGTAGGGCTTACGGAAAAAATATTTATGACTAAAGGGGCTATGAGAAATTGCTGGAAATTATTTTCAAGTTTGTAAAACGGCCGCTAGGTGGCGCAACTGCTATGGAAAATAAGAAAATCGATTTTTACAGAATTTTCTCTAGATAATGGGTACTATAAATAATAGCTTCATAATCTTCAGTAAATTTTGGATTTTTTTTGTTAGAACTATTTTCCCCTATCTGCTAAAATAAAGTGGTGGGGGAAGGTTAGATCTATCTTTATTTAAATGTTAATAACTCCGGACTGGATAATCAGAATCCAACAAACTGGGGCTCGTTTAAAAGAGCGTTTCTTACTCTATATTATACCAGAATAATAATAATAAAGTTTTGAACGTAGACTAGCTAGGGGGCGCTTTCTTACAATTTAACAAACATAGCGAGTTTTTTCAAAAAAAATTAAATACGATAGTATGTGTTATTTTAGCTGATAGTAAAGAGTAGTAAAAGCTTAAAAAGTCAGCGAAAACCGCATCTTGATATCTTCTTTCAAACCGAAGATATTAGCAAAATTATAATAAATACCAAAAAATAAGCCCTTAATTAACCAAACCAAACCTTATTTTTACAATACAGTATCAGTAGCCCTCTTGATTAGACCCATTCTAACAAAAAATAAGATAGAAACAGTTAGTTTATTTTAAAATCGACGAAATACCAGAATACCATAATACCAGATGTATTAATATCTAATAATTAAGATATTAATAATAGTGAAAAAGAAACGATGACTCAGTGAAGTCATGGTCGGCTTTGGAAAAAAGTTGCTTTTCGCGTAATAGTATAAACGTCAAATTGTTATTAGATCAACATTTTGATAGTCTTAGGAGTGTTTTTTTATCTTTTAAATGCTTTTTCAAAATGCCTTTATTATTTGAAGTAGTTGAAGTTGTTGGTATTTTGAAAAAGCAATCAAAAGATAAAAAAACGCTCCTAAGACTATTAAAATGTTGATCTAATAACAATTTGACGTTTATACTATTACGCGAAAAGCAACTTTTTTCCAAAGCCTACCATGACTTTACTGAATCATCGTTTCTTGTTCACTATTATTAATATCTTAATTATTTGATATTAATACATCTGATATTATGATATTCTGGTATATTGTCGATTTTAAAATAAACTAACTGTTTCTATCTTATTATTTTTAGGTTAGAATGGGCATTATCAAGAGGGCTACTGATACCGTATTGTAAAAATCAGGTAATTAAGGGCTTATTTTTTGGTATTTATTATAATTTTGCTAATATCTTCGGTTTGAAAGAAGATATCAAGATGCGCTTTTCGCTGACTTTTTAAGCTTTGACTACTCTTTACTATCAGCTAAAATTACATATACTGTTGCGTTTATTTTTTTTTTGAAAAAACGCGCAGTATGTTTGTTAAATTGTAAGACAACGCCCCCTAGCGTCTACGTTCAAAAGCTTATTATTATTGTTTATATGGTACAATATAGAGTAAGAAACGCTCTTTTAAACGAGCCCTTGCTTGTTGGATTCCGATCATCCAGTCCAGAGTTATTAATATTCAAATAAAAACAGATCTAACCTTCCCCCACCACTGTATTTTGGTAGACAGGGGAAAATGGCTCTAACAAAAAATATTCAAAATTTACTGAATATTATACTTATAGTACACCTTATCTAGGCAAAATTGAGTAAAAACTCCATTTTCTTATTTTTTGTTGCAGTTGCGCCCCCTAGCGGTCGTTCTACAAACTTGAAAATAATTTCCAGCAATTTCCCATAGCCTCTTTAGTTATAAATATTTTTTTCCGTAAGCCCTACGGCTAATACTTTCCGAGATACAGCCGAGAGTTATTCTTACAGTGGGACACCCTGTACAGAATATAAATAGAGTGCTGAAATATTAAAAAAACGGTGTTCAATTCCAGTCTAATCAAATGTATAAATGAATGATTCATAAATAACCTTTGAAACAATACTAAAATAATATTATTTTCAGTAGAAAATAAATTGTTTTTTTTTTCAGTGCTCTCTATACATGTATCTGTCATAGCTCTTATTTACAATATTACATTATATTATTATTTTAATTAAACAGAAATAAAACTCTAGATTGACGCTACGTTTAAAACGTGCTTTAAAAATTCGGAAAATTAAAAGAGGTATGTCCAAGTTTCTTCTTTTTTTTTGAATTTTTAAATGCTGTAGCTCCATATCATGTTCATACGAAGTTAATAACATTTTATTAAAATAGTAGAATCAGCAACATTAATAGTTACTTTGTTTAATTCTGCTATACATATTACATTTAATTTTCCTGCTACTTTAAGATTTTTACATCCGTTTCACCTAATTTATATAATTTTCTTAGCATATCTAAAATATAAAAATATATGATTTATTATCTAAATAAGATATATTAACAGTTATTTTCCACACCACAAAGCATAATAATATGTAGTATTAAGACATAAAAAGTATTATAAAATATAATCTTAATATCAATCCAATACGTTCAAAATTCAACCTTCACCATATTGTCAAGATTTTATTTTGGCATTACAGGAAACAAGAAATTACAGTAAATTAAGAAAAGAATAATCATAAATATACCAATATCATATATATATTAATATACCAAGTACAGGATATTAAATACTGCAATGTATTCTACGACATAAACCACCATCTCCCTTCTAAAGAGTAAAAGAAAAAACATAAAGATATTTTTTTTTAGATTTTTAACACCCTGAAGATCAGACAGACCCTATGTTTATATGAGCTTTATTTTTTCTTAAAAATACATTAGCAGTCATACCCTGTATTTTTTAGACTATATATTGAAAACATCCTGTTTATACATATAGTGCTCGAAGCTTTCATCGAACAAATTTTGTATCAAGAGGCAAGAAATTCTTGTTTACCCTTGTGTTGTTTTGGGGGTTGGAAATTGTTAAAAATCAACAAAAACATAATTATTAGGGCACAGAATCTTGTTAAATGTGTTTTTTATTGATTTCATGGCAAAATTAATGAAATAAAAGTAAATATCTTGTAGAAGTTATATATTCTTGTTTTGAGTTTTGTGGCTTGGAAATTGATAAAAAAACTACAAATACATAATTTATACAGCACAGAATCATGTTAAATGAGGTTTTTTATTGATTTTATAGCAAAATTGGTGAAATAAATGCAAAAAGTCTTGGCCATTACATTGACTAAGAAAATGTCTTGTAGAAGTTATAAATAGGGGTATTACTGCCTTGTTTTATAATTTATAGATGTAATAAGTCTCTATTTAACTAAGTATTACATTATTTCGCAAAATATCGAACAACAAAGTTATATTAATTGAAGATTCTGAAGGCTACCGAACCGCCACCATATTTTTGAATTTTATTTTGATTTACATGGGTTTAATAGGTCTGAAACTGCTTAATTAACTGTATTTAATGATAATCTATAATTCTTTAACTATTTTAAAGGTTGAAAATCTTTTTTAAGGTAAAAATCTATTTTTTATGATATTAACAATTAGGGACATTGGGATAATTAAAATGCGATATCTATGTGAATTTTGCTTTATTCGTTTACTGTTTGGTGTCATTTTATTCGGAAAACATGTAGCTACATTTCCCTGGTAGTAGTTTTGTCTCCAATGTAGCGTTATATTGCTAAATTTTCATCTAAACTTGAAATTTAAGTCATAAAATTACATAATTTTTCATCGGTAAACAGAAGAAAAGCGCCAGTCGGCGCTCCCTCTAGCGTCAAAAATCGGAAACCGAGCGCCAAAACTCAATATCATTGGTCGTTTGCGTCCATTTTCGTCATTTCTAGACGGACCGTTAACGATGTAAGGTCTTTGTCGGTTACCTCTCCAGAATTTTTAAGGAAAAGTGCCATTTTCTTGTATATTGTGCTCGGAAATCATGTGTAGTGCATAGCTGGACTCTTAGAGAGGGTAAGTTCGACCATTTTCCTACGAATTTCCTGATATTTTTCGAAAAATCCGACCATCTAAAGGCGGCCGGTAGAAGCGCAAGATCAACAAAAAAAAGTCAAAGCCACCTTTTTTTTTGTTAAACTTTCCGTTTCTTTCTGTTTGCTTTTTTATACTTTCTGTTGCTATAAATAGTTCTTTTTTATGGTTGTACCACGTCGTACTGTATTAATATAAACCATTTTCAGACTTAAATAGTTTCATGAATATAGTATGTATATTTAGAAATAAAAACCTTATATAAGGGAATAAATTATATTCAAACGATTTTCTGAAGAATATTTCTAATAGTAGTGCACTTGATATGTTTTTTCTTAAATATAATTATATAATAAAAGAATACTTACGTAATAAATCTTTTATAAAGTAGTCTAAATAGAGTTTAGGAATCTGTAAAATACAGAAAAATTACATCTGCCTGTATTTATACTAAATAACATTTAGAAACTTAATATAAGGTAATAAATAGTACTCAATATTATAGGTATTATATAATTGATTGTTATTGATAGTTTTTCTGAAGCTAGTAAATTTTCTTTGCTAATTCATTAATTTTATTTATTTCTTAGAGACTTTTTGCTTAGGTTTTTATGTTTCTAGATATTCTTGTCTTGTACAGGGTCCGGCATTAATGCGTCGGACATCTGTAGCTCCAAGAATAAAAAACTTGTGAATTTCGTTTAAGTCCAAACCTATATAAAGTATGTACGAGGATGTATTTTAGGAAAATATTTTAATTTCTATAGAGTGGCTCAAAAAAGTATGAGTGGATCGGGAACATATGAACTGTAACTAAAAGATATTTTGTCTTGTTTCAGATTATGCCAGAAATTTGTATCCAGGGTTACGGATACTCAAGGACCACGCTGCCAGTGAAGAAGGAGATGACGAACAACACACCAACACAGCAACAGATCTTCAAGTCGCAAAGAAACCAGGCTGCCTTTGGATGGAATGGACCAAGGATCGGTATGGGTCTGGACACGTCATATAGCTCAGGTCGTACCTGGGCTCGGGCGCTGTATCCAGACGTGCTGCACTTCGGGAGTGAATGTGCGCCTTTACACATTTTGCTCGGTACAACCGCGGGTAGGGCCCAGCTGGACTCGAGTGATGGTAAGTACAATCATTTTCCTATCAATTTCCTGATACTTTTCGACATATCGGATGCTCTTAAAGCGGCTGGCTTGAAAGCAATTCTATTGACTGAATGTAACGTCATTTCTTTTCCGATTGGTCGAAATTTTATCGGGCAGTGTATAAAAATTTTGCCTTTTTTATAATTTCTGCCTGCCATAAAAAGATGTAATTTGTTGTGGATTGACAGTTTTCTAAATTTGATGTTTTTATGGTTGTATACGATATCTATGTATTAAAATAAATAATTTTTAGACTTAGTATTTTAGAAATAAAAGCCTTTATATAAGTGAATATATAATAATAATAATCACTCAATTTTCTGAAGAATATTTCTAATAGTAGTGCATTTGATATGGTTTTTCTTAAAGATATTATATAATAGGGGAATACACTTATGTATTACATCTTTTATAAAATAATCTAAATAAAGTTTAGAAAGCTGTAAAACACAGAACTGCTTTAATTAGTGAAATATTTAATGAAGAATAACTAGTGAAATTTATATTGATAATCGCCTGATTTTTTTCTTGAAACTGATCTAAACCCTAAAAATTAAAATACTGGTTCCTTGTTTTTTAAGTTTGTGAGATATTCCTCTATAGTCTATGTTATTAATAATTGTGCATTTTTTGATTATTTTTTTTTTCTAAATATATTTGCATTCGTTTTATCAAAGCACTTGTTTGATGTATTAGATTAGATCTTTTTTTACAAAAGATGCATTTAAACAAAATAACATTTAGATAATTAATATAGGTAGTTTATTGTAATTGATAGTTTTTCTGAAGGTAGTAAGTTTTTTTTGCTAATTTATTGATTTTTTTTATTTCTTAAAGACTATGTGCTTAGGGTTGATAAACTATTATATAATTTTGTTACTTCTGGCAAGATTTTCAAATAGTTTACTGATATTTTATTAACTTTTCACCCACGACACTAATCTCTACAGAAATATGTAGTATATATTTTTATTTTCTTTTTTTAATATTTGCAAAGAAATTTTTAAGAAATGTTGTAAAATGTAATAATGGTACTTATTGTACTCTGTTACACTCTGTCTCTATGACTTTTATCTGTTTTATCTATCTATATTTATTTTTTAAATACTTTTTTATTAAATAGCTATTGAAATTTCTCGGTAACAATTTTTTTTAGTACCTACAGATATATAGGGTGAACCAAAATTACAATATTATTCACCCGCTCTTTCAAAAACAGCCACACTAAGATTTTCAAATATTTAATGATATTTTACTATTTCTTCGTCCATTGCTAATTTCTACAGAAATATATTTTATATACTTTTGTTTCCTTTTTTGGACATTTGGTATAGACATTTTTAAGAAAAACTTTTAGCTGTTTTCAATGATATAATTTTATTAGATTTTCCTTAAATAATGCTACTTTCCAGACTACTTTATTGTAATTTTATTTTTATTATACTATTTCTTAATGACATCTACATATTATATTTTTTAAATAATTTTTTATTAAAGAGTAATTTAAATTTCTTGGTTACAATTTTTGTTAGCATTTATAGGATCATAGATATATAGGGTGAACCAAAATTACAATATAATATGTATATTATTCACTCATTTTTTCAAAAACAGATCACACGAAGATTTTGAAATATTTTACTGGTGTTTTATTAATTTTTCGTATTCCCTACTAATCTCTACAGAAACATGTGTGTATTTATTGTTTATTATATATTTGTATATACATTTTTAAGAAAAAATAGCGTATGATATAAAAAACGGCGTCCAGTTGGCTTGGAAATGACAATCGTTGACATTCCCCATATAATTTTACATACAAAAAGACAGCGATGTTCATTTCATAGCCATCGCTGACGCCGTTTTTTTTCGATCATACAGTATTAGTTGATTTCAATGATATAACTTCATAGGATTTTTTTTAAAATAGTGCTACTTTATTGTAGTAATTTTAAATTTTTTATACTTCGTTCTTTTTGGACTTATATCTATATTTATTTTTGAAATTATTTTTTTGATTAAATATTTTTTTTAATTTCTTGGTTAAATTTTTTTTGGAACTCAAAGGTGTGTGTATAGGGTCTCAACCGAAATTACAATATTATTCACCCACTTTTCCAAAAACAGCTCACACTATGAAAAGGTAATTTTTTTATAGTCAAATCACATTTTTCTAAATTGAGAATAATTATTTGGTTGTATACAGTATACAGAGGGTTCACACAGTTACTTAACTTATAATATTTTACTATTTTTTTTTCCACAACCAATTTGTAAATAAATATTTTTTGCTAATGTATATATTAATTTTTTTTTTCTTTTTTCTCTATAAACATTTTAACTTTCAATAACTCCAGTCGTTGATTATTATTCAATATTATATCAAATTGTATGTATACTAGTTGAAGTCTGGCGCATCCGCCACAACATGCGGCATCAGAAAAAAAACTTTTTATTTTATTTTTTTAATTAAATGAAAAACAAAAAATCCGGCGACGACAGTTTTTAGAAGGGCCAATTAGCTATCTTTTAGTAAAAAAAGCAACTTTCTAGAGCAAGTCGTTATTTCAGTAGAGACGACAAAGATAAACATTAGCATTTTATATATGTAGATTATTAAAAGCCAGAGGGGTTGTTTGGTTTTTTTTGTAAGTTTTTTCTTTTTTCTTTTTTCAGATCGCAATCGAATGGGGACACACAATTGTAATTACCAAACTACACTTACTTTACCCATGCAGACGGCTCATGGATGCTATCACGTGAAAATCCATCAACGCTCCCAGCTAGTAAGCGTGCGGTTTAATGTCTCTACTATCAGGCTCTAAAGACATGACCGCTGAGTTCGTGTTAGATTAATCCGTCGTTTTACCTAGTCTGGGTTCAATATCACAAGTGTCACTCTTTTTCTCTAACGCATATAAAACTCTATAAGAAATGTTTATAGACTTTTATCTATGAAAACAGAGATTTTCATCTCTACATTTGAAAGTATAATTAAATTAAATAAATGTCACTTTAACAGAATCTTCCACATGAAGTATCTAATAAATGCCAGTACTTTTTAGTGCTAGTATTTTAATATAATAAATACGAGTACTTTTTAGTGCTCGTATTTTTCTAAAATCAATAGACACAAAAAAGCAGCGTTGCGGGGTGGTTGCGATGCAATCTGTTGGCTGTGGGGACTGTCGCGAGGGGCCAGTCTCGGAGGCCTGGGACTGTTTCGCCCTGGATTCGTTCGCATATTATTACAGCCCCGGTAACAGGCCGGGGTTCCCAGGTGCTCGTTGCGTTGTAGTCTGCCAGTGGGATGTTATTCGACCGCTCCATTACCGGGCGTAAGCTTATATCATGCTATGCAGGCTATCCCATGGGGCCGGGTTGTTGTCCTAAACGTAAAGGGTGTCTGGGGAGTGGGGCTCAGCTCAATTAGAGGACTAGGAGGCTTGCAAAGGGGCGCAGTGGGTTGGGATCATCTGGCACTCTTGGACCGGAAAGGGCAGGTAAACGCTGGTCCTTGAGTGTGGGGAATCTGGCAGAAGACGTTACGTTAAATTGTCCGATCGGAACGTCATAAAACTATGTGGTTATTCTCAGCCTCCGATGTCGCCTTGCTAATTAACCACCAATATAAAGCTTTTACTAGTGAAAGTCTTTATATTTTTCCTTCTCCTCTTCAAACTGAAAAACGCAGGCATATAAACTTGTTTTCCGGGTTGCCTCGTTACTCGAAAAATATCAAACCGTTGTCGAATGGTTTTTCTCGACGACACCGTCAAATTCTTAATCTGATTCTTTTTGAGGTGGGTCGCCCTGTAGCCCGGTGATTTTTGGTCTGGCCAGGGTTCCAAGGAACAAATGTCCTCAGGAATGGAGGATCAAGCTGGTATCGGAGGGTCGAGGCTTGGCCAAGATTCCGTAAAGGTTCGAATTGACTGGAACATCACCCGCCGTGCCTTTGGGTCTCTCCGGTGTTTTGGTCTGTCCATTTAAACGGTTTATGCAGGTTCTATTTCTTGGAGTTATGACCGTTAAAACCTATTTTTTCTAAAACTTTAACGGCATATGTGCCAGGAAATCGGATCTTCAATAAACCACTCATTTTGCTAAGTATTATTGTAACAAAAATGCGTGTTTTTTATTTTTATCAAGTCTCGGTAGTGCTGAATGGAGAGTGCTAAGGTAATGGAGGTACACATCTTTTCTTATTTACTGTTTAGTGCTAGTCTGGTCTCTAACGTTGAATCGAGAGTGCTAAGGCAATGGAGATTCCAAGTCTTTCATTGTTCTAGTGTTTTCTTTTTAGCGTTATTTGGGATTAGGTTCGCATTAAAAATTCTGAAGAATATACCTTTTTCTTTCTCTAATTTTAAACTAAATTTAATCACCCTATTCTAGTTTCTGTAATGTTGAATCGAAAGTGCTAAGGCAGTGGAGATTCCAAGTCTTTCACTGTTCTAGTGTTTTCTTTTTAGCGTTATTTGGGATTAGATTCTCTCTCATAAAAATTGAGTTCACAGCCTTTCTTATTTTAGCGTTTCCTGTTTAGTGTTATTTGAGACAATATTCTTTCTAAAAATTTAAAATGATGCTATTCTAGTCTCTGTAATGTTGGATCGAGGGTGCTACGACAATAGAGGTTCACAGCCTTTCTTGTCTTAGGTCTTCTTTCTGGCGTTATTTGGGGTTAGGCTATTTCTAAAAATTCTAACTAATATAATTTAAAACAATAATCACCCTATTCTAGTCTCAGTAATGTTGGATCGAGGTTGCTACGGCAATGGAGGTTTACAACCTTCCTTGTTTTAGGTCTTCTTTCTGGCGTTAATGGGATTATAATAGATTCTCTCTCTTAAAAACTAAAATAAAAAACATAATTTTTGTTTAAAATAATCTTTTTTACATGGTCTCTTGTGAATGGATGATACAATTACGATCGAAGAGTAACAGCCTTCTTGTTTTAGTATTCCCATTCACGTATAAATTAAGTAAATTCATTCTGATTTAAACTGTTTTATTCTCTAAATTTTTCAAATCAAACTTATAATAATTTTTATTTAGTTTACTGGTCTTTGAGATGAATGAATTGATAATGCTAAAGTAGTGCCGGTTCCAGTCTGGCGTTATTTTAGGGTTTTCTTTTCACTGTTGTAAGAGATTGGAATAAGGGACCATTTCTTTTTTAAATTTTGCTCTGCCCCATCAAATTTTTCTCTGCTCTATCGCTGTATCTAAACTATATTTTTGAGCACAACTCTCTATCTTATCTAAACTATTTTTCCTAATAATCTCATGTCAAAGCGATAGAGCTCTTTCAAATATAAAATTCCCCCTGGATGGACAGCCAGCACTGAGGGGGAGGGACATACTTCTTGACGTCTAATCGGAATGATGGGATGGGCCGTAGTCCAGCATATTCAGCCTAGTGTCAGTGATAGTGAGGTAAGTCTGAACACACACCTGTCTAGTTCTTTTCCATAAATCTAATTCAGAAATATTTCTATCTTTCCAGAACTATGATCGTGTACGCAGCGCGTGTTATTTGTGAATTTAGTCGGTCTGTGTTAGATGTCCTGCTACTAAAAAGTATTTCCAGGTTCTGTCGATCCTGATGACGCGTTAAATGGGATTCCCCAGGGACCGTCCGTAGTCCCTGAGGGACCAGGGGCGTCCTTCCGCTCCCGCGGTGTGACGACACTGCTTTTTACGCCGTGTGGCAGGAATCGCCAGTGAAAGCGTGTGGAATGGAGGTGAGTTGAATTTATTTGGACTTTCTAGACTTGGGCATCTTTACTGATCTTTTTTTATCGTTGTTTCAGTATGCAGATGAAGATGAAATGTAGAAGGACCATTTCTAAAGCATAATTATAACGGTCGCGTCGGTTCGTGGTTCTGGAGCTGTTCTAAGGCTTTTCACAGCATTTTAAGGTCACACTTTTTATTTGCGTTCATACTTTCTTTGATTCGAATCATATATAATCCTTTGTATTTCTTGTCGTTTGTAAATATCACAGGAAATAATATCTTTAATTTTTTTCGAGGTGTCTTTTCTCAAAATAATTTAAAACCAATTTGACTTTTACTCAGTTATGCTTAATTTATTATTAAAACACATTTTTTTTGCTCAAAGTTTAATGAAATGTGTGCCAGGAAATCGGATCTTCAATTAACCATTTTCTTTTTTTCAAGAATTTTTATAACAAACATTATTATTTTTTATATTTTTATCTAGTCTCGGTAGTGTTGAATGGGGAGTGCTAAGGTAATTGAGGTTCACAGCCTTTCTTATTTTGGTGTTTTCTGTTTAGTGTTATTTGGGATTAGATTCTTTCTAAAAATCTTAAAGGATATCATTTTTATTTTCTGAAATTTTAAAGTAAATTTAATCACTCTATTCTAGTCTCTGTAATGTTGAATCGAGAGTGCTAAGCCAATGGAGATTCCAAGTCTTCCATTGTTTTAGTGTTCTGTTTTTAGCATTATTTGGGATTAGGTTCTTTTTAAAAAATTCTAGAGGACATAATTTTTATTTTCTGTAATTTTAAACTAAATTTCAAACAATAACCACTCTATTCCAGTCTCTGTAATAGTTTTCTGTAGGACATTGTCATAGGATTAAATCTAATTTTTTCTATCATCATTTTACTATTTTTTTAATTATTCTCTAATTACATTTACATTTAAAAAAAGGTGCGAGATATCATGTTTCTTAATAAACTCGTACGTTTATACTAAAACCATTCAAAATATTTTTAATTTTGTTCATGTTTAATATAATAAAAGTTAAATTTGATAATTTTAAAATACATTTTGCACATCATTAATTGTATTTTCGAGTAAAGTAAATTCTCCTGGAAAATAACATTAACTCATATTTTCCTCGTTTATTATTATTCAATCTTTAGAGTTCTCTATACAGATTTATCTCGTTAAAGACACCTTAAATTTTTCTTGTTACCTATAGTAGTAAATCTATAATTTTTGTGGCCTTGAGATGTCCGATGTGCAAGGTCTCAGTCGTAGTACCTTCTTCACTAACTGTTGCCTTAAGGTACTCTTGTCCTTAAGGCTGTTTCTGAGGAGACACGACGATTGGTGCAGATCTGGAACGAATATTTTCTGGAAAAGGACAGTAGGATGGAGAGCATGGAACGAGATAAAATCAGGTATGTTATAAGATTTATTTCTTTTTTTATTATTTTCAGCTAACGTATTTTTTCTGTTGTTTCAGGTTAGTGAGCGTATATTTGTTGTACAAGGGATGCACATCGTGGGGGGTGCTGTACAAAATACGTAAGTTTTTTTAAAATTATTTTCCTGGTTTATTTGGTTGTTCGTTTTCCCGGAGATGGCGTGAGCGCGGTCCTGCAGGAGCTAAAGTCACCTGTGGGGCCCCTCACAGAAGCGAAGCAGAGTGTCGAGTCGACCTCTACGGGGGCTAAAGTCCCCTGTATGAGCGTCCTCGCAGAAGCACGTTGGGTTGAGATCCGCAGGGGCTAACGTCCTCTGTGGAGGCTCCTCACAGAAGCAAAGAACATGCTTTCCTCTCGAAAGCAGCCGAGGTCCATTGGGTTGTTATGTCTGTCGGTCTTTTTATTGGGTTGTTATGTCTATCGGTTTTTCTTAAGAATGTATTTGATGTTCTTATATTTAGCTCTGTTCATATTATCTATGTCAAATTAAAATCTTGAAAATCTCTAACAGTTATTTTTATTTTTTTTAAATTAAACATGTATGTGTAGGTAATTTTCTTTAACTTCTTAATTTTTTTAACTCACTTTTATTTAATTATTACTATTTTTGAGTAAACGCATGTCAATATCTAGCAGTTCGATAACTAAATGTTTAATACAAATAGTCTAAATTTTCTAAATTTATATTTATATTTCCAATTCAAGTTCAGATATCATTCTAGGCCCCAGGAAAAAGGAATCAATTTTTTTATGTTGTGTAGTAGAGATTTTTATGACTTTCTAGGTCACTATTCGTATTAGTATTTTCTGTAATTTTAAACTAAATTTTTTAATAGAATAATCATCCTATTCTAGTCTCTGTAATGTTGAATCGAGGGTGCTAAGATAATGAGGATTCCAAGTCTTTTATTGTTTTAGTGTTTTCTTTTTAACGTTATTTGGGATTAGATTCTTTGTGATTTATACTGTTTCAAAAATAAAAGTTTATTAACTATAATTAATATCATACTTCATATTATCTTAGTCAAATTGAAATCTAGAGAATGTCTAACAGATTTTTTTATTTTCTTAAATTAAACGTGTAGGTGTAGGTAACTCTCTGTAGCTTCCTAATTTTTTAACTCACTTTCTTTTACTTATTACTACTTTAGAGTAAACGCATGTCAATATCTAAGCATTTTTATAACTAAATTTTCAATACAAATAGTCTAAATGTTTTAAATTTATTTTTGTATTTGCAATTCAAGTTCGGGTATGATTCTAGGGCCTAGAAAAAAGGAATCGAGTTTTTTAGTAGCGCAGTAGAAATTTTAGAACTTTTTGAGGTTATCATTAGTTCAGGTTTAAAATTTTGAGGTCCAAAACTTAACAGGGTCATATCTAAGTCTGGTTTATTTTCTTACAAGAGTAGGTCTTGGCGCTCTACAAAGACTGATAGCCTCTATGAGCTTCCAGTTTGAGTCGACATCTTCAGATACTTTTTGTAGGGTTCTTGTGTCTTATAAGTTCGCGCTGGTAGAAGATATACTTTGTTTGAAGCTGTATACAACAGGTCAGCGTCATGTCGGAGCCAAATTGATGTCTACACAATCTCTATGTATATGGCAGTCTTATTTTTTTGTTACTATTTTTTACAGGTTTTGGGATCAGCCTTAGACAGCATCACAGCAGCCAGTTTGAGTCGATGCCTGCAGAATATTTTTGTGGGGTTCTTGTGTTTCATAGGTTCACATGGGTTGAAGTTCTGCTACGCTTGAAGCAAGAATGGGAATATAATGATCCATAAGTACGAGGCTTCCCAGGAACTACTGCAGCCTATTTGATTCAACGCCTTTAGAAGATTATTGTATGATCCTTCTTGTATTTTATGGATTTATGTTGATTGAACATCTATTTGAAGCTGTATGCAACAGGTTAGAGAGTCATGTCGAAGTCAAAAGTCTACACAATTTCTATGTATGTATATGATACTCTTTTGTTGCTCCTATTTTTTTACAGAAGTAGTTCAAGATGCTCTAGTACTATCAGTCTTTGTATGAGTCTCCAAGAAACCACAGCAGGGTCATTTTGAGTAGATATCTTTAAGGTCATCTGAATGTCTTCTGAACAGGTTCACATTGGCTCGTGTTCAGTGTTTCATTTTTTTCAGCTCCAAGCTCTTCAGCGACTAACGTTCTCTGTATGAGCTGCACTGTAGGTATTGTGGATTGGTTGTTGCATATCCTTTTTTTTCAGGGCGCTATATGTGGAATTTTTGGGAGGGTAGTGTTGAGTGCTGGGTGAAGATATCAGAGAGATTTTGAATATGAAAAAAATATAGAGTGTAAAAAATATATGTATAGTGATATATACTGCAGGTAAGAAAGGGAGACGCGATATCCCCAAAGCTGTTTACGGCAAGACTAGAAGAAATCTTCCGTCAACTGGACTGGACCAATAAAGGATTAAAAATTGATGGTGAATATCTTAACAATCTAAGATTCGTTGATGACTATGTCTAATTGCCAATAGTCCTGAAGAACTACAAGCCCAAATTAACGAACTGAATACAGCCAGCAGTAAAGTAGGTCTCAAAATTAATGTATCTTCTACAAGCAAAAACTAAAGTAATGTACAACGCACTAGTAGACAGAAAAGACATTCTAATAAATAGCACAACACTAGAAATAGTAGAAGATTGACTATATTTGGGACAACTAATACAGAGCTCGGGATCTCTACCAGCAGAAATCAACAGAAGAATTAAGTTAGCATGAAGTACTTCTGGAAAAAACTCAATCGTATTCAAATCCAGAATGCCACTTTATCTAAAAAAGAAAAAATTCGACCAATATGTACTAGCAGTCATGACCTAGGCAGGCGAAACCTGGACAATTAAAACGGACATTATAAGAAAACTGCAGATCGCACAACGCTCAATGGAACGAAATATACTGGGAATAACCAAGAGAGATCATAAAAGAATAGAGTGGATACGACAAAAGACCCTCAAAAGTCAAATCCCTCGGGTGGGAATAGGCAGGATACCTGGCAAGGACGGACAACAGATGGGTCAGAAAAATTATAGCATGGTACCCACAAGGAATTAAGGGACCTAGAAGACCATGATATTAGGAAATTGGCAGGGATAACTTTTGAGCTCGCATAGACAACAATAGATAACAATGGGCCCAACTACAAAGAGATTATCTAAATATGTGAGGGAGACTACACCATAGTGTTTGTTGAACAATCTGTTGATGATGACTACAGGTAAGAAAGTATCTTCTTACAGCTTCATAATTTTCTAGGTTTTTAAATGTGTTTTTTTTTATTTTTTAGATAAAACCATCTGCATCGAAACTGAAGTGTACAAATAAAATATATTGGATGTCTAAGTAAGAAATTTTATGAAAAAGAAACATATAAATATGTGGCAAATTTATGAGTTATTTTGGTAAACCATAATATATATTATTATAAGACAAAATTCTAGTTTATAATATTTGTATTTTTATAGTCATTATATCAATACTAATACTTTTTTCTGTTTTGTATCAAACTTCTAGAGAATATTTATCGGAAATCTGGATTCAATTATATCTTCCTTCACCATAAAGTCAAGAAAATCTTGGAAAATTGAAAAAAGAAATAAATATATATGGGCAAGGATAGTTCAAGATAAAATTTTAAGATATTAGTAGCAGCTGCCAAATTATTTTGGCTTTTGAAATAGCCACTCGCTACGGTGAGAACAACAATCATTACTTTATATTATTTTTTAATCTCTTATTGTTACCTTTTCTT